CCAAGACGCTCCCAGATCAAGGTACGGGCTGGCTGGACTAGCACGCGAGTGCCAGCGCCGACCGCGGGGTCACGGCGGGCACCTCGCCAGCCACCTGGGCGGGCGGACGGTCCTGGAGGGTGCCCCGAACAGTGGCCCGCTCGTGCCCTCTCCTCCTCCTCGCTCGCCCGTGCCCGCTGGCATTATGTCGGGCGTGTCCCCCTAATGGGGGATTTTCGACGAAAAATAAAAATACCCCAAAATAATCAAACAATCATCCATAAATAGTCCGGGGACTATTTTTTGAGAATTTATTTTCCCTTTTGGAATATTTCCCCATATCCTAAGATGGGGTTCTTGTTATTACTTGGACGCCTCCTACTCCTTCTCCTTCCTCCTCCTCTTTTCTCCTCCCCTCCTGTCGGGCTTACTCATACTCAGACTTGCTCATACACAGACTTACTCATACTCAGACTTACTCATACTCAGACCTACTCATATTCAGACTTACTCACACTCATACATACTCATACACAGACTTACTCATACACAGAATTACTCACACCCAGCCGTACTCATACACAGACTCACTCATACCCAGACTTACTCATACACAGTATTAGTCATACTCAGACTTACTCATACCCAGACGTACACATACACAGACTTTCTCATACACAGACCTACTCATACCCAGACTTACTCATACACAGACTTCCTCATACACAGACTTACTCATACTCAGCACCCCTAAGGGGAGCCGCCAGGGGTGGTTGCACGGGCTCGTTCGCGGCCATTGCACACGGGCTCGTTCGCGGCCATTTTGTGGGGATGTCTCAGGCGGTTTGCCTGTTTCTGTGCCCAACCTCCTTCGCTTTCGGAGCAGATTTGGAGGATGTCTCGAGCGAGGCGCTCATTTCAGCACCCCTAAGGGGAGCCGCCAGGGGTGGTTGCACGGGCTCGTTCGCGGCCATTTTTGTGGGGATGTCTCAGGCGGTTTGCCTGTTTCTGTGCCCAACATCCTTCGCTTTGGAGCAGATTTGGAGGATGTCTCGAGCGAGGCGCGGCATTTTCAGCACCCCTAAGGGGAGCCGCCAGGGGTGGTTGCACGGCTCGTTCGCGGCCATTATTTATGGGCGTTGGGGGATGTCTCGAGCGGTTTGCCTGTTTTCTGTGCCAACATCCTTCGCTTTCGGAGCAGATTTGGAGGATGTCTCGAGCGAGGCGCTCATTTTCACGTTCCTAAGGGGAACGGCGGCGGGGTATTGCACTCGGCTCCTTTCGCGGGATTTTGTGGGGATGTCTCGAGCGGTTTGCCTGTTTTCTGTGCCAACATCCTTCGCTTTTGGAGCAGACTTGGAGGATGTCTCGAGCGAGGCGCTCATTTTCACCCCACCCTAAGGGAGCGCCAGGGTGGTTGACAGGGCTCGTTCGCGGCCATTGTGTGGGGATGTCTCGAGCGGTTTGCCTGCTTTCTGTGCCAACATCCTTCGCTTTCGGTGCAGATTTGGAGGATGTCTCGAGCGAGGCGCTCATGTTCACCCCCCAGGTGGGCCAGATTTTGAGGATGTCTCGATCGGTTTGCTTGTTTTGGTGGCCAGGCTCGTGGGCGCAGATTCTTCTCAGGATGCCACAGGAGGCTCCAACAGGTTCCAGGAGGCCCCAGGAGACCACATGAGGTCCCAGGAGGCATCAGGAGGCCACAGAAAGACTCAAGAGGCCACAGGATGTCCCAAGAGGCTCCAGGAGGCCCCAGGAAGCTCCAGAAGGCTTCAGGAAACCACAGGAGGCCCCAGGATGCAACAGGAAGCGCCAGGAGGCCTCGGAAGGCAAAAGGAGGCCCCGAGAGGCCCCAGGAGCAGGAGGCCTCAGAAGGCAACAGGAGTGGCTCCAATCCCATGTGTTTTACGTATGCTCCTATCGATTGGGCCTCACCTGGAGCACGATTCTTTGATGTTCTACGTATGTTTCTATATATGGTCCTTCTCATGTGTACACAATCCTAAATGTTTTACGCATGTTCCTATGTATTGGGCCTCTCCTGGGGCACGAGTCCTTGGTGTTTTACGCGTGTTCCTATAGATTGCCCTTCTCCTGTGGCTCTAATCCGCAATGTTTTATGTACGTCTGTTGCTATAGATTGCGCCTCCCCTGGGGCACGAATCCTTCCTAGGAGGTCCCAGGAGGTCCCAAGAGGCTCCTGGAGACCCCAGGAAGCCCCAGTAGGTTTCAGGAGGCCCCAGGAGGCCCCAGGCTCATGCACATAGACGCGCTCGTACTACTGAGGCTCATTCACACTCCAATTCATTCGCAGTTAGATTGATGTCCAGACCGTCACAACTGAAGCCCGTTAATATTCGAAAGCTCTTGCGCCTAGACATTCACGGCGGACAGGTCCATGCGAGTAGATGCACATATGGGGAGCTCCACGCAGTGAATAATTTTTGAAATGCTAGATTTTTCTTCGAAAATCCCCGTGCAGGGGGACACGCCCGACTTAACGCTGGCATGCCCCCTCCGCCGCCTCGGCCTCCGCCGCCGCCGCGCGCCGCGCCGCGCGGCCGCGCGCGCCGCCGCCGCGCTGCCGCGCGGTCGCGAGCCCCTACGCGGCGCAGGGGGGGGGGGTAGGGGGGGGGGGGGGGGGGGGTCGAGCCGCCTGCCCGCGCGCCGCGGCGCCGGGCCGCGCGCCGCGCCGCGGCGGGCCGGCGCGGCGCGGCGCGGTAGAGCCGCGCGGGCGCGCGGGCGAGCCGCGGGCGGTCGCTGCGCGCGGGGCGCCGCGGGGCGGCGCGGCGCCGGGCGAGGGGTGCGGCGGCGGCACCATGCGGGGGCGCTTTGGGGGGGGGGGCCTGGGGGTCGAGGCGCATGCGAGGGGGGGGGAGAGGGGGGTGGGGAAGGCAGAGGAGGTGGAGTGTAAGAGGAGGAGGAGGGGGGGAGGAGGAGTAGGAGAAGGAGGAGGAGGGAAGGAGGAGCGATGAGGTGGAGGGAGGCGTTGGAGGATCGAGGAGGAGGAGAGGAGGAGGAGCGAGGAGGGAAGGTCCGGGTGGAGGGAGTCGTAGTAGATGTGGTGGACGTGTTGGAGGAGGCGGTGGGAGGAGGATATGCCGGCTTCCCTCCAAGAGGCTGTCCTGCGCCGGCCCTTCCTTACCTCCCACACACCTCCCTCACGCTCTGATCCTCCTACCTCCTCCTCATCCTCATCCATCCCTCCTCCTCTTTCCTCCTCCTCATCATCATCTTCACTCATACATCATCATCATCATAATCATCAGAACATCAGCAACAGCAGCAACATCTAAACGCATCATCATCATCATCATCATCATCATCAGCAGCAACAACAGCAGCAACAGCATCAGCATCAGCATCAACATCATCATAATCAGCAGCATCATAAGCATCATCATCACCATCATCACCATCATCACGATCACCGTCACTATCACCATCACCATCAGCATCAGCATCACAAACACCATCATCATCAGCAGCAGCAGCATCAGCAGCATTATAAGAATTATCATCACCACCACCCTCATAATCACCATCTTCATCATCACCACCAACGCCACCATCACTATCATCATCGACATCAGCATCAGCATCACCACCATCATCATCAGCAGCAGCATCGTCATCATCATCAGCATCTCAAGCATCAGATCATCATCATGAGCACCATCAGAAATCTTCATCAGCATCTTCACTCTAAACATCTCCAACCATTCACCATCATCATCAGCTGCTGCATCATCATCATCATCATCATCATCATCATCATCCTCATCATCATCTTCTTCATCATCATCATCATCATCATCATCATCATCATCATCATCATCATCATCATCATCATCATCATCATCATCATCATCATCATCATCATCATCATCATCATCATCATCATCATCATCATCATCATCATCATCATCCATCATCATCATCATCATATCATCATCATCATCATCATCATCATCATCATCATCATCATCATCATCATCATCATCATCATCATCATCATCATCATCATAGCATCAGCATCAGCATCAGCACCAGCACCAGCACCAGCACCATCATCATCATCATCATCATCATCATCATCATCATCATCATCATCATCATCATCATCATCATCATCGCCCTTCTGGGCCCCTCGTTCTCACTCCTCCCTTCTCCTTTCTCCTTCATCCTCCCTCATCCTCCTGCCCCCTCGTCCCCCGTCTCTCCTTTTTTCTCTCACTCCCCGCCTGCCTGCCTCCTTCCTCCGTGCTTCACTCCCTCCGTTCGCCCTCCCCTCTACCCATCTTCTCTCTCTCTCGCCCTCTCTCCCTTCCTCCACTCCCCTCCCCCCCCCCCTCCCTCCCTGCCTCCCTCCTCCCTGACAGGCCTTCCCCTCTGACCCTGACTGTGACGACGAGGTGACGCTCCTGGCAATGCCTCCGCGCTCTGCGCCTGCTGGATCGCCCCGGTCCGCCCCATCCAGAGGGCCTTGCACTTCTGGCAAGGAGGCAACGAGGGGCACGATGACGGTAGAGGAGGAGGGAGCGGAGGCGGAGGGAGGAGGAGGCGGAGGAGGAAGATGTGAGGAGGTGGAAAAGGCAGAGGAATAGAGGTGGAGGAGGCGGAGGAAGAGGAGAGGAGAAGGCTGAGGAGGAGGAGGGAGGACGCCAACGACGGCGGCGGCGACGACGCCGACGAGGAGGCAAGGAGGATGAGGTCGAGGCAAGGAGGATGAGGAGGAGGCAAGGAGGAGGTGCACGAGGAGTGATTGAGCAGAGACCGACCGTCCCGGCATTCCTGTAGGCCAACCACGAAATCTTCTTAGAACCCCAACATGTTCTAAGAACAAAAACAAGGTTCTTAGAACATAACACCGATGTGTTAAAACACGACTGTCCCATCCAGGAATGTTCTAAGAACATTTCGTGGAAACCACAAAAGGCTCTTAGAACATTGTTTGGTAGGCTTATAGGCACGCTGGGACGCCTCGCCACTGCACGACTGAGTGGGAGGACGACGATGACGGCAAATTAATGAGGAGGAGGAGGAGGACGAGCAGGAGGACTTGGAGGACGAGCAGGAGCAGCAGGAGCCAGCAGCAGAAGGGCGGCGCCGGGGCCCGCCGCGCCGCCCGCGGCAACTCGGCCGGCCGGCCCGGAGCAGCCGGACCTACTCCGTGCGGCCCGTGGGCGGGCCGCCGTAGTCTGCCGAGGGGTCGTACGAGAAGCCGTCGCCGGGCCTCGAGCGCCGCGGGCCCGGGAGAGGTGGCAGGGCCGTGCTTTCTGCCGCCGCGGTCTGACGGCACTCTTCCTGGAGCAGGGGAGCGGTGACAGAATACGTAGCACCCCGCAGATGCGGATGAGAGTGAGGGGGCGGTGGGGACGTCGGCAGTTTGCGAGACTCCAGAGAAGCCCGCTGCAGGCGCCAAAGTTTCACAAACTATACAGCGAGCTCGCCGCAGCCGCCGATTTGATCGTCAAATCAATGTGGCTAGGTCGCGGGTGGGTCGCGGGTGGGTTGCAAATCGGTCGCGGGTGGGTCGCTGAAAATCCACCCCATAATAATCACCTCGACAAGCGAAGCCGTTTAGTAAACGCACACAAGGAATCAATCGAACAGGGCAGGGCTGTTTAGACAACGCCCAGGGCCGTTCTAAAAAACGTTAATTCTCTGATCTGGGTGTTTTTTCCTCCCTTGAAGGTGTATCGCGGGGTGGGTTGCGGGTGGGTCGCGGGGTGGCTCGCGGGTGGGTCGCGGGGTGGGTCGCGGGTGGGTCGCGGGTGGGTCGCGGGTTTGGTCGCGGGATGGGTCGCGGGTGGGTCGCGGGTTGGGTCGCGGGGTGGGTCGCGGGGTCGGTCGCGGGTGGGATGACGACAACAAGCCGCAACAAGAACAACAGCAGCAGCAACAACAACGACAACAACAACAACAGCAGCAACAACAACAACAACAACAACAACAACAACAAGAACAACAACAACAACAACAACATCAACAACAACAACAATCATTTTACCCGAACGCTCAGTGTTCTCCCCAGTGCCAGGGTTTTCTTGCGACACCAGCCAATACCCCCACTTCGTGGGGGGGCCGTTAAAGCTCTACCAAATATCCAAACGACTCTTCGAGACCACCCACACCCAGCTTCCCGCCCTATGACGTTGGGACACTTCACTTCGTGGCGTGCGGACGACCCTGGCTACTACACTGGCGTGGGGTACACACCCACAGAGATTTCGACATGCGCGCGCGGCGGCCGCGCGCATGTGCACTTCGTCTCATTTTTTGCAAGGGATGGTGGCCCTCGCAGGCGCGCAACCGTTGTTGGAGAAGTTCAAAGCACCTGAAGAAGTTGCTCGCAAAAGCCCGTTTGACAGAATTGTTTAAAAAGTGTTGGTTTTCCTACGAATCCGCAAGAGCGCGCGGAAGGACATTTTGACAATTGTTTCTTAAAAAACCATTGGGTTTTTGATGTTTTTATGTTAAAATCGTCTACGGAAAACTAAGGTTTGGAAAGGGATTTCGTTCTTACCTTTGTTCCTTACTCCTTTCTGAGAGCGCGGTGCGTACATGTTTAATTATGTCCACTTTACCTTTATTTTTGCACTAGGGAATTTTTGAAATTTGATCAAATAAGAACAAGAATTTCATCTTTATTTCATATTGTTCCTTTCAAGGGGTATTGAAATAACGTAGGAGGCGTCAACAAATAATAACCGGTATCTGTGGGGATTCCGGGGGTAATAATCCACTTTTCTGAGCTTTCGCAGAATAGAAAAAAATGATGAAAATGTAGCTGCCGGCCTAGGTTTTGGGCGGGGGGCACGTGCAGCACCAGGGGGGTCCAACAATAATAATCTTTAGATGTAATAGTGTTCTACAACAACAACAACAACAACAACAACAACAACACAAACAATAACAACAACAACAACAACAACAACAACAACAACAACAACAATCATTTAAGACTGGGGACACTCCGTTCTCACCAGTGCCAGGGTTTTCATAGGAGGCGGGCAATACCCCCACTTTGTGGGGGGGCCGGTTCAAGCTCTACCAAATTTCCAAACGACTCTTCGCAACCACCCACACCCAGCTTCCCGCCCTATGACGTTCGGACACTTCACTTCGTGGCCTGCGGACGACCGTGGCTACTACACTGGCGCATGGGTACACTGACTTGTTGTGGTAACATTTTCTGGACGCTAGCTTAGTATACGACTTTTCCCCCTGTTCCAACACTGGACACCTGTACTGGTTTTTGGTGGTAACGTGAAAAACCATTGGTTTTTTTAGGATTCGGACAGCGCGCGCGGGTAGAAATTTTGAAAATTCGTACAGATGTTTTTCGAGGACCTACGGTGCGATTCGTATGATTTTATGTTGCGCGGTGCTAAAATTCCTAAGAAACCCAATGGTTTTTGAAGATTTCGGCGTGCGCGCGCGAAGAAAAAAACGAATGTGTCCCGCATGGTATTATTTGACAGGGATGATGGCCCTGGCAGGTGCGCAACCGTTGTCGCAGAAGTTCGAAAAAGTTGCTCGCAAAAGCCCGTTTGACAGAAATGTTTAAAAAAAGTGTTGGGTTTCCTACGAATCCGCAAGAGCGCGCGGGATGAGATTTTGACATTTTTTTGTTGAAAAACCATTGGTTTTTTGATGTTTTTATGTTAAAATCGCTCCGAACACTAAGCTTTTGGAAGGATTTCGTCTTGCGCGCGCGAATGTCCACTTTACCTTATTTTTTGCTAGGGATTCTTGAAGTTTGGTTATGTTAGAACAAGAAATGTCCACTTTAGCTTTTTTTTGCAAGGGAAAACCGATCGTAACAACACAACCGGATCCGGACTCCCCCGTTTTGCCTGAGACTTCCTCACGAAAATGATGAAAATGAGGCTGCGGCCTAGGCGCGGCTGGCGTGGGGGGAGTCGTCTGCACCAGGGTCTCCCCCCCCACCCACACCCGACCATACTCACCCATCAAGATTATTCTGTTAAAAGTAATAATGTTACATCAACGGCAACCAACAACAACAACAACAAACTCAACAACAAAACAACAACAAAAACAATAATTTTTACCCGAACGCTCCAGTGTTCTCCCCATGTGCCAGGGTTGCAGTCTTGCGACACCAGCCAATACCCCCAATTCGTGGGGGGGCCGTTCAAGCTCTACCAAATATCCACACGACTCTTCGAGACCACCCACACCCAGCTTCCCGCCCTATGACGTTGGGACACTTCACTTCGTGGCGTGCGGACGACCCTGGCTACTACACTGGCGCGGGGTACACACCCACAGAGGTTGATCACATCTGTTACATATGATGTGGTACACGGTACACGTGAGATGGTACGCAGTGCCAAGATAGTTGGTCACATTTTTGGGGCAAATTCGTGGGGATGCGATTACAGAAGTACATGTGTTACACTGATTACAGAAGTACATGTTTCGGATGAGAAAGTAGTGCGTTTTCGTATGTTTTCTGAACATCGCATCTTGAAATTATTGAAAACCCATTGTGTTTGGCAGGATTTCGACATGCGCGCGCGGCGGCCGCGCGCATGTGCACTTCGTCTCATTTTTTGCAAGGGATGGTGCCCTCGCAGGCGCGCAACCGTTGTTGGAGAAGTTCAAAGCACCTGAAGAAGTAGCACGCAAAGACCCTTTTGACAGAAATGTTTAAAAAGTGGTGTGTTTCCTATGAATCCGCAAGAGCGCGCGGAAGGACATTTTGACAAATTTTTCTTAAAAAACCATTGGGTTTTTGATGTTTTTATGTTAAAATCGCTACGAAACCTAAGGTTTTGGAAGGATTTCGTCTTGCGAGCGAGAATGTCCACTTTACCTTATTTTTTGCAAGGGATTCTTGAAATTTGATCAACTAAGAACAAGAATTTTCATTTTCTATTGTTTTTTGCAAGGGAAAACGAGCGTCAACAAAAAACCGGATCCGGGGGTAATCACTTTTCTGAAGCTTTCGCAGAAAAATGATGAAAATGTAGCTGCGGCCTAGGTTTTGGGCGGGGGGCGTGCACCAGGGGGTCCAACAATAATAATTCTTTAGAAGTAATAGTGTTCAACAACAACAACAACAACAACAACGGCAGCGGCAGTACCAGCAGCAACACCAACAGCAGCAACAACAACAGCAGCAACAACAACAACGCAACAAGCAGAATTCTCACCACGAACTCCTTATTCAGCCACGCACCCAGAGACAGTGAATGACCATTTGGCCCCTCACTCTGATACACACACAAAACAAAACGGATCCCGGGAGCGGGACACAATCGGGAGCGGCCAAGAGGGGGGTGTCCAAGAGGGGGGGGGGTGCAAATCATGACCGGCGGCATGTGCGCGGCCCAGCGGGGGGGCAAGGGACGTAACGAAATAAGAAGAGGCGCCATGAAAGCTGGGGAAATATCATGGCCCCCGCCATTGTATCCACCCCCCCTAGTCATCACCCCCCTCTTTGCCGCCCCCGACACAAGCTGCTCCGGGAGGGGAGCCAGAACCGGGACCGGAGAGAAAAATTCGGCGACGGAGCCAGGAACAACGGCGCCGGAGCTGGCAAGCAAACCGCAGCGCGGAGCCGGGTGCCAATCGGCCCGCTCGTTTCCTTTCGCCGTCGCTCGGGCGTCCACTCCCCGGGCATCTTTAGGCCTCGTGCGCACAGTTTGGTTCGCAAGATGGTCCAAACTGGTCCCTCGATGTCCCTGGGAAAAAATGCGCACGTTCGAGCGATGCCAAGCTTCCAGGGTCCACTGGGGCCTCGAGTGCCTCTTCCAGGCCTCGACGGCGAGGCTCCGCACCCCGGAATGGGTACGGAAAGAATGGGTACAATGCCCAACAACAAATCTTGTCCCAAGCCATCAGCGGCCGCTGTTGGGCAGGCGGCCTTCTGCCTCGAATGGACACAGGCCGCGGCGGCGTGGACAGCGAGTCCCGTTCAACATGAACAGGAGCTGCTGTTGGGCATTGCACCCATTCTTTGCGTACCCCTTTCGGGCGTCCAGAGAGGGAAAAATGCGCACGCTCGAGCGATGCCGAGCTTCCAGGGGTCCCCTGGGGCCTCGAGTGCCTCTTCCAGGCCTCGACGGCGAGGCTCCGCACCCCGAACGCGTCGCCGCGGAAGTGCGGCTCGCTCCACAGGGACTCGTCGGCCCCGTCGAGCGCGGCGGGGAGGTCGACGCCGTCGTAGACGCCGAGCATCTCCTCCAGGAAGCGGAACGCGGTGGACATGCCGAAGTCCTTCGAGGAAGCGAAATTTTCTTGAGGCGCGCAGCGCACAAGCTTCCGGAGCTCCGCGCGGCTTCCTCGGATCGGAGCTGGACCCCCCGCCCTGGCGCGCGGGCGGGGCGCGCCAGGGGCGGCGCCGGAGGCGCCGCCAGTGGGGGTTCCAGCGCCGATCCAAGACATCCGCGCGGAGCTCCGAAGGGTTGTGTTTTTATGCGGTCCGTGCTCTCCCGCGAGTCCTCCGACGCCACCACGCAGTACATGTTGCCCCGCTTGTCGGCGGTGAAGTAGAGCACCCCCAGGTCGAACGACAGCTTGTGCCGCGTCTTCGGCTTCACGGAGCCGCCGGCTACCCGCAGGACGTCAGACACTGCGTCGAGGTAGCTGCGCTCGTGCGGGTCCCCCTCGAACAGCGGGAACAGCATGGACGCGAACATCCGGCGGTCCTTGCGACCGCGACCGACCACACAACTGGAGGCGCTGTGCTGCTTCCCCCCCCACCCCAGGGAAGTCATTCGTTGTGCGTCGCACGTCAAATCCCCTCCCCCAAATTACCACCTCGAACAGTGCCTCTCCCCGAAAGAATATCCCCTCCACGTGGAATCGGGATCTCCCCGCTCCCCATTCCGGCAGCAAGACCTCTTTTCAAGCCCCTCCCAACCCACCCCCTCCCGAAAGTCTTGGAGGGGGCGGGTGCAATCCATCCCTGGCGCGCCAGCAAACAACGACAACGCTGACGCTGACGCTGAGGACGACGGCAATAAACGACGACAACGAGAACGACAACAAGAACGACGACGGCAATAACGACGACGACAACGACGACAACGACGACGACGACGGCGAAACCACTGCCTGCGAACATGACGACCACGACGGCGACGGCGACGACGACGACGACGGCGACGACAAAAACGACGACGACGACGAGAATGACGAGAAGAATGACGACAAGAACCACGACGACGGCGACGAAGCCGACGACCACGAGAACGACGAGGACGACAAGGACGAGGGCAAGGACGAGGACGAGGACGAGGACGACGAGGACGAGGACGGGGACGACGGCGGGCGAGACCCATAGCGCAGGGGAGGCGGGTTGGGCGGGCAGCACCCGGACGTGCGGGTCAGGCAGTCGGGCGAGGGGGCCCGGACGGGCGAGTCGGGCGGGCGGCCCGCTGCAGCTGGCGTGCGGGCGGGTCGTTCGAGGGAGCTCCCGTGGGACTCACGCCATCCCTTAAGCCCCACCGCGCCCCCGGGGGAAACCACTTCCTGGGAGCGCACCGGGCGTGTCCCAGTCGAGGGCTCTCGCTCGAGAGACACCCTCGCAACGTCGGCCCCACGCGCGCGAGACAGTCGGGCCCCACCGCGACCCCAGGGACTGCATTCCAGGCATCGCACCGGGCGTGCCTCAGTCCGGGGCTCTCCTCCCCTCGCCCACAAGCGCACGCCCCTACTTCTATATACAGAAACTCCCGATCAACCGCGGAGCGGCGGGCTAGTTAATAGGCCACAGTTCGTCGTCATCGTCGTCGTCGTCAGCTTCACCGTCAGCTTCGTCGTCGTCGTCGGCGTCGTCGTCGTCGGAGTCGTCGTCGTCAGCGTCGTTGTCACTTTCGTTGTCGTCGTCGTAGTCGTCGTGATCGTCCTCGCATGCTGGCGCCAAAGGGGAGGGGCGTTTTGGCCCCTCCTCTGGCAAACTGTGAACTATCTTCTGAGGGTGGAGGGCAGGGAGAGAGGGAGGGGGGAAGCTCGACACCGCGCCCCTCCCGTTTTACAAGGGGGAAGAGAGGGGGGGGGGGGGGGCGCGGTTCGGGACCATCTCCCCCAACATCCGGCGCACCAACTTGGTCGAGGCGTGGACTCCCGGAGGTTCGGACGATTTCCCCGGGGCCGGCTTCTCATCCCGAGTCGTCTCTTGACGGTCCCAGGGCCCGTCAAGAGCCCCCGGAGGCCGAAGATAGGCCCAAACCGGCCGCTCCGATTTTACAATTTTTGTCGGACCTTCGGATCTCTGGGTGGTCCCCCCCCCATCCCCTCGAGCGCACGCGGAGCAAGCTCTCTCTCTCTCTCTCGCCCGTCACATCGACGGCAACGACGACGACCACCACCACCAACCAACTCGACGACGACGACGACGACGACAACGAAGAAGCCGACGACGACGACGACGACGACGACGACGACGACGACGACGAAGCCGACGACAACGACGACGACGACGACGTGGCCGAGGCTGATCCGCTCGCGGCCTGCACGCGCCCAGCGGCGAAGTAGCGCATGCCCCGCCGCAGCTGCGCCACCGCGAGGTCCAGATCCCCGCCCTCGGCCGCCAGCTGCGCCAGCAGGGCCGCTCGGTCCTCGCCTCGGCGTCTGGCCGAGCACTCGGCCGATCACGCCACCCGACGGCGTGCTTCGATCGCGGCCCCGATCACGATGGCTACTGCGGGCAACATTCGTATCCATATCCAGTGCGTCCTGAACTCTCCTGGAAGGGGCGCCGCAACGCCGAGGCGCACTGAACATGTCTAGGGCCAGACTTTTCTCCATATCCAGTGCGCCTCAGGTTTCTGGGGAAGGGAGCCCGAAACTCCAAGCTGCAGTGCACATGGACACAAGTCTCGCCCGCAGCCGCCACGCCGATCAGAGATCGATCACGCACTCCGTCTCGGACGATCGCGTGCTCAAGCCGAACCGGCCACGTGATCGGCGATCACGTGATCCCCCGATCCCTGCGATCTGTGATCGCCCACCGCGTGCTCCGCAGACACCGAGGCCCCCGCCGAACGCCTCGCCGATCCAGTCCTCGATCTCGTCGTAGCTCTGCCGCACGGCGGCCCGGACGCTCGGAGGCGGCGATGGGGCGGCGAGCAGCGCGGGGCCCGGAGCTCCTGGCCTTGCGACAGCTGTTGCACCTGGCGCCTTCGGGGCCTTCGCCCAGCATCGGGCCTCGGGGCCATCACAGATCGATCTCTGCCTCGAGGAAGTGCCGCAGAGAGATGGGGCCCGGGGCTCTCGAGTCTTACGGGATCCCCACGCTGCATGCGCCGCTCGCGACGCCGGATCTCAGGGGAGTGGGGTGGGAGAGCCAGGCGTGTGCCTGGGGGTGCCCGTGGCCCACGTCTTCACGTCTTCGGCGAGGCTCCTCGGGGGGGGAGGCGCGCAGCGCCCGCCAGGTGGCCTGCTCGCCCCGCTCGTCGCCTCCGAGATGCGGCTGAAGTTCCGGTAGCCCGTCTCCGGAGGAAGGAAGATCGGCGTCCACGGCAACCGTCCGGAGGCCCGCACTGCTCGCACCGGCGCTGCGGGACATCCCCTCCTCCTCCTCCTCCTCCTCCTCCTCCTCCTCCTCCTCCTCCTCCTCCTCCTCCTCCTCCTCCTCCCCCTCCCTCTTGGCGCCCAGGGGTGGAGCGACAGACGCACAGCGAAGGGGGGTCCGGCGCCGATGCGCGGAGTCCGCGCGGAGCTCCGGAGGTTCCTGCTCGCGGTCGGGGACTCGGAGACCTCTACACCACTTCGCACGCCGCGGCGGCGACCCCCCGGCGGCACGCTGCGCCCTGCACAAGCGGACGGCGTGCCGCTCCGCTCCGAAGGGGTCGGAGGCTGGACTTAAGGCTCGTGGCGCGGACGCTCGGGGGCCAGGTCGTGGCCAGCGTGTCGCGACGAAGCGCTGCGGGCCCGAGCCGGCGGCGCGAGACGCGGAGCAAACCCTGAGGTCCGACGCTGCGAGACAAGGGGCAGCAGCGCGAAGAATCACGACCTCAGCCCTGGACCCCACCTGTCTGCGGTCTGCCTGCGGCGCTTTTCGAGCCCGATCGAGCTGCGATGGTCCCGGGGCCCGACGTCGGGCGACGACGCCCGGCGTGAAAAGACTGCAACGCCTGGAGCTCAGGGAGCGTTCCCGACGCGCCACTCGGAGAAGGGCGAGTTGAGACAACGGCAGCTCAAAAGCGATCCTCCCCACACCTTAGGTGTGCAAAATCAGAGCCATAATTTAGTCATTTTTGTATGCGTGTGCGTGGTTTTTGTGTTTTTTTTGTGTTTTTTTGTTTGTGTTGACACCTCTCCCGAGGCCCCAACGCACCAGATTTCCGAGCTGCCTCGGGCTGCGGCCGCGAGAGGCCCCCCCCGAAGGCCAACCGCCGCTGCCTCGACGCGCCCCCCGATCTGAGCTGGGCGTTGGCGTCCCCGACCGCAACGCACAATGTTGCTTCCTCGGGTCTCGGCGCGGCCGCGTCCCCCCGGCGCACGGGCATGCCGTGCGTCCCGCGGCTCGGGCTCGCCGATGACGACGGCCTCTGGCATCACGGCGCGGCGGCCCGGCCGACGTGGGCTGGGGAGAGCCCTCCCTGAGAAGGGAGCGGCTGCGGAAAGGGAGGGAGGAGGAGGGAGAGGGAGAGCCTCGTTGGTGGCGGCCCCGGGCCATTGGGGCCCTCCAGAGGCAGAAGCTCGCCAAAAGCTCTCCGCCGTGACTCTCTCACGGCGCGGGGATGTCATGGACAGCAGGGCAGAAGGAGGAGGAGGAGGAGGAGGAGGAGGAGGAGGAGGAGGAGGAGGCACTGGAGGATCAGCAACACCAGCAGCCCGAACACGACGGAGCCGTGGGCCCGCGTTCCTCCGGGGCCTCGTCCCGCCACCTGTGGTTGAGCAGGGGCCGACCGTCCCGGCATTCCCATATAGTCCTACCACGAAACTTTTTTAGATCCCAGAAGTGCTCCAATAACGAAAACCATGTTGTTAGATGTGTTACGTAAACCAAGACAGTCTCACTCAGAAATGCTCTAAGGACATTTCGTGCAAACCACAAAAGGTTCTTAGTAGGAAGGCACCAACTATACACCAACACCGATCCTGGCCAGGATCACCCTGGGCCCAGGATCGGTGTATACGCCCTCCTGCCTTGGGCAAGAAGGCATATACACCGATCCTGGGCCCAGGGCGATCCTGGGCCAGGATCGGTGTTGGTGTATAGTTGGTGCCCTCCGACTTAGAACATTCTTTGGTGGGGCTATAGGCGAGCCAGGACGCCTCGTCACCGCTTGACGTGGGGCTCCCTCGCCGCCGCGGCTTCCGCTGCCTCCCCGTGGCGTCCGGCGTGCCTCCTCGAGCGGCGTCCTCCGGGGCCTCGTCCCGCCACCTGTGGGGCTCCCTCGCCGCCGCGGCTTCCGCTGCCTCCCCCGTGGCGTCCGGCGTGCCTCCTCGAGCGGAGTGGCGAGCGTTGGCTCCTGCGCCGGCAGCGGGTGCTGCGGCCCCGCCCTCCCGGGGCCCACCTCGGCCCGATGGACGCGAGCCGACGCCGAGTTCCCAGGCCTCCCCAGGCCCTGGAGCGAGGTTCACCTCCTCCTCCTCCTCCTCCTCCTCCTCCTCCTCCTCCTCCTCCTCCTCGCAAGGATCACCTCCTCCTCCTCCTCCTCCTCCTCCTCCTCCTCCTCCTCCTCCTCCTCCTCCTCCTCCTCCTCCTCCTCCTCCTCCCCTCCTCCTCCTCCTCCCTCCTCTCCTCCTCGCAAGGATCACCTCCTCCTCTCCTCCTCCTCCTCCTCCTCCTCCTCCTCCTCCTCCTCCTCCTCCTCCTCCTCCTCACTCCTCCTCCTCCTCCTCCTCCTCCTCCAGGATCACCTCTCCTCCTCCTCCTCCTCCTCCTCCTCCTCCTCCTCCTCCTCCTCCTCCTCCACGTCCCCTCCTCCTCCTCCTCCTCCTCCTTCTCCTCCTCCTCCTCCTCCTCCTCCTCCTCCTCCTCCTCCTCCTCCTCCAGACCCTGGCGTCTCGATGATCTCGAGGGTTGGGCAAGGGCACGCAGGCGGGCGCCCCCGCGCGCCCGCAGGCCTCGCGCCACCACGGCCGAGGGAGCAGCGAGGAGGCTCTCCTGGCCACGGCGAGCCTCGGCCACGAAGGGGCTCCCCGACCCCGGATCTGAGGCGCGGCCCGAGAATCCGAGATCCTCCTCCGCCTCCTCATCCTCCTCCTCCCTCCTCCTCCTCCCCCGCCTCCTCCTCCTCCTCCTCCCCTCCTCCGCCTCCTCTCCTCCTCCTCCTCCTTCCTCCCTCCTCCCCTCCTCCTCCTCCTCCTCCTCCTCCGCCTCCTCCTCCGCCTCCTCCTCCTCCTCCTCCTCCTCGCCTACCTCCTCCTCCTCCTCCTCCTCCTCCTCCTCCTCCTCCTCCTCCTCCTCCTCCTCCTGCCCCTCGCTCCTCCCCCCTCGCTCCTGCCCCTCGCCCTCCCTCCCTCCCTCCCCTCCCGGGATCCTCCGGGGCCCAAGGTGGTCGTTACTTCAGGGGCTCGACCGAAACGATGCTCTTTTCGTTCTCGCTCTGTTCTCGCTTCCCCTCGTCCTGTCTCTCCGTTCCGCCTCTGCTGCACAGCGAAATCAAAACGACAACGGTCCACGAGATCGCCGAAACACCGTTCAGGTCCAGCCTTGCCTGAATGGCCTATCTGATTCTTTCCAGGCGCGGCCCCAGGGAGGTCCCGGCCCCTCCCCCGGGGAGTCGCTCCGCGCGCCCCGAATCCTTTTTTGTCTCTGCCCCGGGTCCCGAGAACGGCCCCTGGAGGCCGAGACGAAGGAAAAACTCCGCGGTCCGCGAACGGAAAACAGCATAGCAATCACCTCGTCGGAAGTCTGGGAAGAGGCAGGCCCGAGCAGAGAAGGCCCCGGACTGGGCGCCAGGAGGGGCCCAAGGGGGGGGCTCCTGGACGCCGATAGCTCTCCTTCATCCGGGAGGTCTGCCAGAGCGCGCTCCTCCTCTGACCCCGCCCGTGGCCCTGCCCCACCTGCTGTGGGCAGCCGGCGAGGTGGTCAGCCGGCGAGGTGGTCAGCCAGCTCCGAAGGACCGGCGAGGTGGTCCGCCGGCGCCCCACGAGAGAGGCGGCGAGCAGCGGCGGGTCGGCAGGGGGGCCGACGAGAGGGAAGGCCGGGGCAGACGCACGCGGGAGGGGCGGAGCCGCGGGCGCGGCGCCGCGGGGGGAAGGGGGCGCGGGCGGTGCGGGCGCAGGCGCGCGGGGGAGAGGCGCGGGGGCAGGGCGAAGGGGGGAGCCAGCGGCGTCGTCGTGGGCGCGTGCCCAGGAGTGCATCCAAGTGACGTGCCCCCCCCGTCGCCAGCGTGGACTGCGGCTGCGGATCTATGGATCTGGCGCGTGGGCGCCAGGTCCACGCATCGGGGAAAGATCACCCAGACAGGAGGCCAGTGCCTCCCGACTTGGCGACGGAGCGCCCCGGTTCTGTTGTAGGGATGCAGAGTCCGACGCCAATCCACGCGCCTGAATTCATGTCTGCCTCTCCTCCCTCCCACTT